GCGTCGCGAGCGCGCCCCGGGGAACAGAGCCGGATTCGAGGCTGTCGTCGTTTATGAGCTTACATTGTATCTGGAGTACCCAGCCGTCCTCTATCGGCGCGGTTCCCATGATTCGATTTTCAGCTTGACACGACAAGTGTCTGCCTGCGTCTGCTTTCGTCGCCATGAAAGATAAAATGCTGGTGGTCGTGTTCCCATCGACGGAGGTCTGTAACAACATTATGATAACGTTCATCGGGGTCCCCAGTTTCCGCCCGTCCACCCCATCGACACTCGTCGCGTTTATTCTTTTTTTCTTCATTGATACGATCGTTTGCTTACCCGCACCGTCATCAATGGCGCCGACACATACGCGTTCAACCCCTATATATTAAAAGCGTATCTATCATCTAATCTGGAGGGTCGGCGGTAATCATAGTCGAAATTCTCTATTAATTTCTCGTTACCCTTCTCGAGGGATAGATCTTTTTTAACAATAAAGAAGTGACTTCTATCTTTTTTGGGAGCAGAACCGTTATTACGTCAGAGTTTCATTGAATTATTCAATGTATATGTGTCAGATAAATTTCCGCAACTTATGTAAGGAAGTGCGCAAGTAATAAATAAGGATCTCATGCTTTCTTATTTTTCTATGTTGTTTATACCATATCTTAACTGTCTTCTTTATCTAATGTATCAAAAACGCATATGTCAGTGACTAAGAAACTTCATCTTATGCGTGATGAAACTTCTAAAGTAGTATGGATGATGTACATATAGATCATTTTTAATGTACTGGGTTAGGGAAAAAGTCTTTTTACAAGTTGGTAAAAAAGACCTTTCTTCATCAATATCTTCGTTAAAAATGATCAAAATTTAAATCTAAAAAAAGGGTTTTAAAGGTTGAAATCTCTACTTTCGAATAGTTACTATATTTTTTGAATTTATGTGTAATTTTTACATATAGAAAACTACGACCTGAAAAAAATGAAAAATTTTCTTTACACTTTGTAGATCTGTAGCGTGTCCAAAAAAATTTGAGCAAATTTTCGACTATCTATCGTGAAAGCTGGAAGCTTTCTCTACAAAATCATTTTTTTTAAATGTTCTTACAATTTTTTATTCCTGAGTTATTAGCGGATTAAGTAAAAGGGAACATTCTGACTTTATTGCTCGTAACTCCGTTAAAAAACATCGTATCGCAATTATAAATACAGATTCTTAAAGCTGTAATTGCTCTATCAAGTGATATAATTGCCAATTTTTTAAAAATAGAATATATGGGTTGCTAAAAGTCTTTTTACCAACTTGAAAAGGAACTTTTTCCCTAATCCAATATTAGAGGAAGGTCACTGATACTGACATAGGTCTCCTAAAGCGACATCCTTTTATTTCTTAGAAACTAATCTTTGCACCTTATTAATACTAATAAAAACGTGATCTGTTTAGCTAATTAAAGAAATACAAACTCATAATTCATATATTTATGGCTTATTTCCATACCAAATCAGCTAAAAACAAATTCTATGAATCCGAGAAGAAAATTCTTATGGTGTTCTTTTGCAAATTGCGTAATTAAAATAATAATGACTGTATTATTGATAATATTGTCATTTTAAATGTTTATAGTTTCATAAATTAATTTTCTTTACAGAATAGGATATATCTTTATTTATAGAATAGGAATATTGGCATTATATTGCCTACTATATCAGTTTTGGAGCTCATTTTGTTAGACGCTCATTTTTGCATAACTTACGAAAAAATTAATTATTGCAAACTTGCAAACAGTATTATAAAAACTGCTTATACTATCTGATAGAAGACACTTTTTAGTTTGTATTTATATTTTTGAAGTTATATTTTTACTTTTTGTTTAAGAAATACTGTCTAAAAACAAAGTGGTATGTCGGTATCAGTGATGACTTTCCCCTATATTACTTCATCTATCAGTTTTTAAAATTAAAGAACAATTTTTTTTAATACGCGCATTTATAGCTTTTTCACAAACAAATTCTAATTTTTTTAAAATGAAATTCTCAATCTTTTATCTAGTAATTAATTAAGGTAACTGGACCCAATATAAGCATGTCAAAACACCATATTTGTTGTATGTATTATACGATTAATTCAACAGATAGCAGTAATAGGTCGTGCAGATTGTTTGCCTAACTCGATTGCATCAGTTTATTGTTTAATTTGCTCATTTTCTGTTATCGTCAGTAAAGCAAAATGCAAATTGTTGTGATATGATAGTGATGTAATATTTCGTAGATAAATAATTGCTTCCTAAATTATCAGAAGATGATTATTAATTTCAGTTGATGTTATCGTAGCTCTATATTCATATTTTACAACATTATATATTTAGTTTATATTTTTGTCATAATAAATAATGAGTTTATTGCTTGAAAAATAGTTCTTTGTGTATTCTTATACGTCAATACGTTAGTAAACTTATAATCTTATAAAAGTAACAATGGATTATTTTATTTTTTATTTTTCTAGCATTTTTTTTTTTACGAAAAAAAGGAATATACTTAGGCCATATTGAGTACATCATATACCCAATATACGCATAACGCTACTTCTTTTTAAATCTTTACTCTATCTATATGAATATTTGAATGTTTCATATTTTTTATTAACATTCAGAAATATTCCTTCTTTAATGTGTCACTAACTTTCATTTCTGGATTCACCAAAAAATTAAAAAAATCGCAAAGCTTAGTAGGAGCATACAAGATCCGATTACTTTATTTACAATTAATATGAAGCATGTCACATATCGTTCTTTACAGTAAAAAGGCTGCTCTTTAAATATGAGCTAATAATCTAACATTTTATATTCAGACTTTATTTTATACTTTATTTTATTCTTTAAACGTGGAACAAGAAATCGTAGAAAAAATTAATGGTAAGAAATATTTATGATAGTTGAGATTATAACGTTCGATTTAAAACCGCGAATATCGATTCGTTTAACTTGGAAACTTGTTCAAGTAGTAAACGCCTCTGAATAATCAGACGTGCATCTCCGTGGAAAACCGCGCGCCCGAGGACTTCCGATTCGATTTACACCGTCGAGACGCGCACTCAATGTAATTTGCAAGCTCGACCACGGCTCGTACAGCTCCTTAAAGTGACCATAAAATAAGGTTCTCTCTTGCGCACGTGTACCTCTGTACGGCCGTGCACAAGTGTGTCTCATTGCGAGGGTGGCAGGAGAATTATCGTTATCGCGAGTACGAACCCGTGGTAAAAGCGTCGTTAAGCGTGGAATAATTTAAATCAGAGTCGCGCGGAGTCTGCGAATTTTCGTTCGTAATTAAGGCGAATCGATGCCTTAATGAACGTCCAATACGTCGAGTGGCCGGTTAACCACTCCGTCCCGTTACGTCGATACGATCGCCTAAATTTATCTCTCTCTATCCATACAATCGTAGGAGTTTGCAAGCGTACGTAAGGATAGATAAAAACATGATAAAACCGCCTTTTTCGTAAATGAGTTATTCGTCAGTTAACGTTTCGTAAATAGTGGCCCGTTTGATAGCAGTGACGAGTAAATAACACGTATTAACGATGGAAAGCGAACTTTTTTTTTTTACTATCGATTTTGATCACTAAACAAACCGAATAAAGCGCGTGGGTGAACGTGTGAACCAATTTTATAACAATCGATCAGTGTACGACCTCAAAAACATTCGCATGAGAATTGTTTTCCCTTTGTTATCCGAGCAAATACTTGTCGAATAGCTCCGAGGTGTCGAAGGAAAAAAACGTGAAATATTTTTTTTTCTTGTTTTTACCTTTTTCGATTTTCGCTAAAATGAAAACTACTTTGTTAAACGGCTATTATCCCCTCGAATAAAATTGTGTAGCAAAATTTATATTGCGTCTCGTCAATTTAATATTATGATATAAGATAAAATCCAGGTAGTTAATTCAGACTGACGGCATGTGAGATTTTTTTAAAATTTTGTTACAAATCATGTAAAATTCAAGTTTCGCTTTTGCATCTCTAATATTTCATATTTTAATTAACATCTCGTTATTCCCATACTGAAATTAAGCGTAATTCATAATTTTACGCTATTTAAAAGTTTCGTAGCTTAGGAAAAATCAAGTTCATGGATTATGAAGCACCCGTAATAACTCTGCTTTACGTTTCGTGAATTAAACATTCGTGCTCGTGCAAACGCTCGCTCTGTCCAATGAACTGAGTTTAGGGATTACACTCCACGCATAAAACAGAAATAGTGGAAGGTAGTCAGAAAAACGCATCGCCCACATTATTCATATTCCTGAACGAAATATAACGCAAAATTTTTCATAAAATCTCAAAATATTCCGAGCGCTTTTTCAACTTTCCCACGATGCGTTGGAAAAAGTCGAATCACAGTCGAGGCTTCAATCTCGCGCGAGAGCGCGACGGATGCGGGGTTTCTCCCCTTCCTGCTCCGCGATTCTGTCGCGCGATTAAAAAATAATCGCGGGACAGAGAGAGCGCGCGCGCGAATAATAAATTTCGCGTCTTGCCGAGAAAATAAATCAACGGTAGCGGACTCGCGCTCTAATTTCGTTTCGATGGCGGCGGAGAGCTCCGCGCGTCGTTTCACGCGGTGGCCCGTGCAAAGATAATTACGAAATGAGATGCGCCATTCATTAAAAATATATTTCCGACTGCGCATTCCGGCGAGGTCGAACCGATTAACATAATTGCTGCAATTCCATGATACGATACGGGGGGAAAAATACTCGCGGCGCGAAATCCCTCGTTTACGGGATGTTGTGTATATACATCACGGTAACTATTTTTACGCGCTGTTGCGTAATCGCGCGAAGCTGGGAGAGATAAAGCGAGAAACTCGCTGAGGAAACTGCGTGATTAGTAAAAAGCGGGGAAAGTAAGAAGAAGAACAGGCCTCCTCGATCGACATTCCATCCTGGATTATACCGGTTCTCCCTCGTCGTATTTTCTATCCCTTCAACCCGCCGCTTCTGTGTTTAACTTTCTTACGTAAGCAGCGAAACAATCTTCACTGTCGCGTCGTCTAGCGCGAGTATCGACTTTGAAACAATATTTTCTCTGTCCCGTACACAGCACGGGGTCCTTCACCCCTTCGCCCACGTCCTTAATCCGCCGCTACCCGGCAAATATTTACGTCGTCGTCTTAAGTGCGGATCAAAACGCGGCAGATACGACGCGCGTCGCGTTGTTTGCGCACCGTTCTACGTGCATCACATCTCATCCGTGTACCCTGCGCGCACCATGTGTTTTGCCAGGGTTGAGCGCGGGGAAATCGAAGTAGAATAAACAGAGGCCGATGCTCGATTTCGCCCGACAACGGGTCAATTTATTCGAAAGTACGTTCTTTCATTTCGTTCGCTAATCCGCGTTTCCATTGACGTTTGTTTGCTTTGTATACGAAATACCTTCATCCGTTTCTCGCGACAGAAACGCCGCGCCCCGGTTAGAGTGTTCGATTTACGTTAAATCGAAATTTATTTCGCCGCGCGCTCGGAATGAAATTGAATGAATTAATGAATTGTATCGGAACGGAAGGGAGAAAGAGAGAGAATACACGCACACGAGAGGATTTCATTCTCATAGATCAAGTATCATCGTAATCGCCCCGGTGAGATATTCTTTATTCGAGCTGCGCGTAATTAGATTTATCGATATTTGCGACATACCTCTTCATTGCCGTTGATTAATCCCGTAACGACGAAATGTTACGCTTTTTTATCAGAATACAGCGTACGACTCGATTGCGTAACACTGTTATACAACAGTTTCTAGCTTTTTTCATTTTATTTTCAATTCCATGGTAAATCGATGCAAGATTTACATGGAGGGAATTTCATATTTTGTGAACAAAACGTTCAAACTGTTCAATAAACAATTGTTTTATAACATTGCCAACATACTGTCCCAATATTTTTCTCTTTCTAGAAAAAGAGAAAGAGAAAAACTGTAGATTCTAGTTATCGACTAACGTGTTATCTGTCCTAACTTCACGTCTGAAAAGTAATGTTTAATTAAGGAATTAATTTAATTAAAAAATTTTCCGAGAAGTTTTCACTGAAAGAAAAATGGATAAATAAAATGAAACAAAAAGCATGAGATTAATGAACGAGAAGAATCAGTTGAGAATAGATAGTTTGTTGCTAAAAGTGGATAATACATTAAGAATATTCTTAATTAAAATAAACATAGTTTATATAAGCAATTTAATTATATTTGTTGTGTATAATTTAATTATATTTGAATATTCTTAACATTTAATCTCATTAAATCATTGCCGCATCGTTTACCTCTTTACACTCTTTTACCTCAATAATATTTAATAGGAATATATCTCGACTTATATAGTCGTAGGATAGTTTTACTTCCCGTTAATTAAACATAATCCCTGCACGGTAGGCTTCACTGTAAACGGCAGTCAATCACGTAATCGGCCTATGTCTTTTTTGGCGTCGCTTAATCCACGGAAATTGAACGTGGAAATTGCTTCGCCGCGAAATTAGGAGACACATGTCAACCAGACGAGTCGAGGTACAGTGAGAGATTAATCGTCTTTCGTTAATGAGATTAATCCGTGAACTAGCGTCAATAACACACGGCCAAAAACATATCAAATTTAATTGAAAAAAGTATAATTATACGTTCCTCTCGTATTTTCCGATTTATATGTCACACAGATAAGTTTCTTTTCTTAAGTTAAATATAAATTAAATAAAAATAGAGGAAAAAGATATCTCTCTAAAACTCTTGTGATATCCTCTACAGTTTGGCGAAAACACAGTAAATATGTAAGAAAAATTTCGAAAGTTTAAACACACGTAGGACAAAACTTTCTCGCGGTGACAGATGCGTTTTTAATGTATTAGAGAGCATAAACGATAAAATAGTTTAACATGGCATTTATGTCGATAGTTTACCTTGGTTATTATATTTGTTTACGTTTACATTTAAAACATCATAACTTGAAAAATAATATATTATAAAAAATGACCAAATAGATTTATAGTGTATTTTTTAGCATGATCTTAAGATCCATTTCCATTAAAGAAATATCATGATCTTCCATTTATTTAAAAGAATTCCGTGTTTGAAAGAGTTAAATATTCATATGAATTAATGTGATATTCTTGATAAAAAGATCAAGGATTCTCTCTTATTCAAGATTACAAACTCAAGTTTATGCACTGCCGAGAATGGCTGGGTGGAATGTATGTTGATGTAAGAACGAAAATTATTCTATAAAGAAACACACTTACGGTTTCCTTGGAATCCACTAAGCGTTGACCGTTCCTCCGCCAGATGACGCTAGCCGGTGGTCTGGAACCGGAAGTCGTGCAGACCAAGTCGTACTTCTTGCCCGCCGACAAGGGTCGGTTTCCATCAATTATTTTCACTTCCAAAGGGCTAACTGAAAATTATTCAATTCATTAGTTAAATAACGTTTGATATTTCTTCTTATCTTTTTGTAAAATTTTTGCAAAAAAAGATATTGAAATAAAAATGACTTTCACAAAATTTGCTGGCAAGAATTTTTAAATATTATTTCATTTAAATTCATCAACATCATTAGCCTTAATTTAATTTAACAGACATAAACCGGAAATAAAATTGATATTTTATTTCCGGTGGTTTCTGTCAAAGTTTTTGACTGGTAATTAATTTTTATTATAGCCTTATTGTGGAAGTTTTTTTATTCTTTTGGCCAGTGAACTGTGATAAACCAGATAAATCTTTATGGTTGAGCTGATAGTTTGCTCGATCCATGGTTGTACTCATTCACAAGAGTACGTGATTATGTAGATACAATATGTATATATATATGTATATTTTTTGTTCTATTGAGAATAAGGAAAGCAAGTCGAACCTCATACGGATATCTTCTGAATAATATTTTTGCGCAATAAGTACCACGTTGGTCCCCATATCCTATCGTGTACTTTTCTTACATTTGTTGAAATTGAGGAGTCCCGTATGTTGTTATTTTACTTATTGTTGCTTTTATTTGTTATACAAAAATAGTTTCTATCATATTTACCCGAGAGAGAGATGTACATCGATCATTTTGCTGCACTTTTTCGTTTTCTCTCAATTTACTAACGACTGGACACCCCTTGCACTTCGTGCACTAAATTCACAATGTCAAATTATACTCCATTTGAGTTATTTTTAATCATTTCTATAGATCGGCACTGCTTTTTAATGTGTCGTTAATTTATTCGACTAAAACAATGGAATTAAATAATTTAACTCAAGAAATGTATTAAATTTGATTCAAATTTAAATTACTATTTACTAAGTGTAAACGTTAATATGGATATTGTTTACTTTGCAACTAGCAATTAAACTACAGCAATGGATTGATTTACATTTTAACACATACACGGAAATTAAAAATATAACCAAATATTATTTAACTGAGGGAATTACCATTGTTCTATTGGTATTAAACAGTGTACGTGCATAAATATATTTCGGTCAAAATGACCAAGACGCGCTTATTAATGTTAAGCCTAAATCACAAGCCTACTTCCGGATTAAAACGAACAGAAATAATAAATTTATCTGGACAAAAAGTACCTGAACATGTGATTAAGTTACGTACCGAATTGAAAAGGTGATTCTGCAGCCTTTTGCAGTCATATAACCGGTATGACGAATTTTAAGCGTGGGATCATAAACTCTCCCTCTCCTCATTAATCCTACTACTACTTTCTCTCTCTCTCTCTCTCTCTCTCTCTCTTTTCCGCTCTCTTACTACTTTATCACGCGCCATGTATCTTGCCGCGCGATAGCTCAGGTACCATAACAAAGTGAATAACTTAATTTAGAGCGGGGACAATTAATCTTGCGTCCCATCTTGCGCGCTCTTTTTCAAGATGATTCAAGTGTTTCTCAAGGTGACTTCGCACACAAGGGGGCTTTGCAGATTTTTTTGTACGTAAACTCTTCCTAAATCGCCTTGTAAGTTCGTGTACAAAAATATATGAAAACGAATAAACTAATCGACAATATATATATAGTATAAATTTCTTCTTAGCTGAGCTGAGATATCTTTTTTAAAGTATCCGCTTTATCACCACATTTCTTTATCATCGCAGACTTTTCCGAGTTAAATAAATTTTTCCCAAGTCCCCTTTCGCATTTCAACAAAGTATCTCCAATTTACCGCTTCCGTTTCTCGACTGGATGTATCGGTTTAAAAATTTCGCGGTAATCCCGGCGTCTAGCAAGACAAATTAAAAAAGGTCCGCAATTAATTAACCCCACTCGTTGTTCTAACGTTCTCGCGATAACGGCGCGAGTAAAATTAAGCGCTCGGCTGCCCTCGACCGCTGCTCGTTTCTTCGTTATAGCGGGTCGCTGGCCGCAAGACGCGTACCTTCCTGCACGCCAAATTGACGTTGATAAATCCTCTTTGTTATAAAGCGATACATCATCGGCGTGCACTTCGCTCGCGTACGAGAAATTGAAGTTGTTCAGAAAATTGTCGCCAGTTGTATATAGAACGCCGAGCTATATATACTATTGAAATATCGACTTATAACTCTCCGATACAGAATGGTTTTGAAATTAGTATTCTCTTCATTGTAATAGTGTTAGAATGCTAATAGAATTAATATAATATATAATAGAAAGAGATTCTTAGCAAACAATTAAGCTGATATTCGTTATTTTGACGTGCAAAATGACATCAGCTTGTTTGCTGAATTAGAATTAAAGATATTAAAATTAATATCATTCCAATTATTTAATTTTTATTATGGAAAGAACGATTTTGCTGAAATAACTAAAAATTTAAGATACATATCTGAAAATAATTTTGTAGACCATCAAAATAATAGTAAAAGAACTCGAGCATGATGAGCAATGCTGCAAAAACATTTTAATATCTAACAATCAGCTTGAGCGTCCTACATAATTATTTTGATGGTCCCATAAAATTATGTTCAGATCTGTAACTAGCTAAATTTTCAGATAGGTACTTCAGCAAAATTATTCTTTCCGAGTTTGCTAGTCATAATAATCTTATAAAATATTAATGGAATGGGAATATAATACACTAATGTATTCGAAAATCGATTCCTAAATTCGAGAGAAATAATATGTTATTTCGAGATAGATTGAATGAGTATTATTGTCTTCGATATTGGACGAGCAAGAGTATCAGCTCGTGTTTAATTTAAACATCCATACACTTAATGCAAAGCGTGGCGTATGCTGTTATTCACGCGTCCTCTGAATTTTCCCGTAGCCACTTGGATAAAGATTTTCATCCGGAGTGCGTTGAACCCGGAGAAAATTGCGGATCCGTTGCGTTGCCCTCGGCTATACCTGTACGTTGCACGCGATGTGACTGAGAATTTATAGAGGCGCGAGTAAGGCGATTGTCGATAACGGCGCAAAATGACCGCGAACGATGGTTTTGCGGATACTGGAAGCGCCGCGCAAATCGGTAATGGTAAATGTTAGCTGCGTACCGCCATCGGAGGTTTTGGTTATTGTATTTATAGGATCATACATTATGGAAGTTCCTTGATTTACGGCGTGATATGAACGGCGATAAGCGTCATAAGTTGTATGGACCGAAAATATTCGTACGGAAACGATTTATCTTCGTCGTTCTTTTCAAGTAATTTGCGCACGTCCATTTACGGATCGCGGTAATTATTCGCGAGAACGGCGTATTCTGACGTGACGTCGAACACAGAGCGGGATGTTAGGACGAAAACTTGTCAGTCTTGAATAGCATCAATCGGAGTAACGGACGGGTATCCGCCTCATAAATGACATTTATTAATTAAAAAGTGGTGTTGCATTTTTGCTCCACGCTGCCACAAACCACTACTCTTCCTTCCTCATGCCAGTAGATTCCGGCCATCCAGCGATGAGCCGCATAATGAAATTAATTAAAGCCGATTTCTATCTTGCTGCCCGCGGTGAAATCCTCGCCGATATTATTCTGCCCTACAGTTTTACTTCCACTCAATAATTCAAGATCGATTACAGAATTATGCCGCATGCATACGCTCCATATACCTCAATCGCTCGTAATTTCAGCTTTATCATAAATTTATTGACGAATAAAGCGCGAGCGGTCTGGGATAAAATGAGGATTTTACTGCTATTTTGGGAAAAGCAATTTCTTATCGCGTTTTTCAAGATTTATACTATAATTTCTCAGTACTCCCAATATTTGTGAATATATATAGAAATGAAAAAATATAGATACGAAAATAAAATTAAAAAGAGACGGTTTTCCTAAAATATTTAAAAATTCAGTTATATATGTACACAGAGTTGAAAATAATTTTGTTAGACCATCAAAATAATTATGTAGGACTCTTAAGCTGATTACTAAAATATCAAAATTTTTTGCAACATTGCTCATTATGCTCCAGCGTTCTACATAATTTTGATAATCCAACAAAATTATTTTCAGATCTGTATATCTAACTAATTTTTAGACATTTCAACAAAATTCTTCTTTTTTTATGTAAAAACGGATTAAATTGAATTTGAAAAATATCAGAAGCGGGATATATCTCATTTTTCGCGAAATTGAGTTACATGGGTTATCTTACATGGTATATACTTATGTAGACTCAGCGTTGCAGACAGAAACACCACAGGCTTCGATACCTCGCGTGGAGTCAGTAATCGCGCAAATATTCTAGTTCAAACAGAAACCTCACACAACAATATGTCTTTCCATCCTGAAAAGTCTAGCTTATCTACTTATAGAATAAGTAGGGTTTCTCAACCTCTCGATTCAATTGAATAGTGATTTTTATCATAAATGAAGCAAAAATAGAACAAGCTTGTTTATTCAGGACGTAAAATATCGTATTTGTCTTTCTTTAATTTTAAAATGACAGGACCAGATAAATAGAGTACTCCAAAATTCTAATTAAATAAACATTTATAGACCACACATTGTTGGCTCATACAAAATTAGCGTTTGGTGAATCGTGAGGCTTGGCTGGAGTGAATAATTCAGTTGGGAATATGTGTGGGGACCGTCCTTGCAATTTGGTCAGCTTGTTACCTTGGGGACACCTTTATTCAGTGAGAAAGAAATTCACTTAATCGCACCGTGACCGTCGCCGCCATCGCGCCAGAACAACCCGATTGGCATAGTAATATTTCAGGCATTCTAACCCGTCGCCACCGGCAATAAGGCCGTCTTGGCCCCGACATTGCTGTTACCGTCGCTACTACTACCGCCGCCGCCGCCGCCACCGCTGCTGCCACCACTTTCCCCAATTTCCACCCCCTGAGTTACGACTCGGGACTAATTTACATGACTTGCACCGAACTAATTCGAACGGCGGTCGATAGCGCGCCGACTAAAGGGGTTAAAACGACGTTTACTTTATTACGTAATCACGGGGAAACCTAATATTGACA